AAGTACTGCTGAGGCAACAAAAATGATAACCCTGGGGCCTGTAGAGAGATTATGTCTTTGAGATATTGTCATACACTGATTATTGAATTAACGAATTAAATATTCTAAAAATCGTAATGCATGAGAGATTTGGATAGTTTGATGCTACAGGCTCTTTGCCCCAAGCTTTGCCCTTTGTTATATTCTTCAATGCGCAAGAAAATTTCCTAACTGCAAGATTTGAACCTTAATAACAATCTTATTGCTTACTAAAACTCCACAAAAGCGCAAATTACTCTAAACGGTAAATGTGGACTCATCAGCTGTGCTTTCCACTATTTGATTTGCTCCATTTCACCACAAAAGAGTAACAGCGTTTATGGGCGTCATTTATAAATGTCACGTGCGGTAGTAATAAAGGTGTTTAAAGTATAAAGGAGCTTATAAATACCTGCAACAACTCCAGCTGCGCAACAGTATCTAGTGTAGATGCTAGACCAACTGATACTTTATCTGGATCCTTATCCTTTATGTACTGTAGAAGGTTTTGTAATCCACCCTGACAAGATAAACGAGAAAGTCATCTTAATCGCAGTAGGTTTATGTTAAAACATATCATCTGTTTAGATGATTTCTGAAATTTAAGAAATCAATGAGACAGCCAAAAATTATGTTGTTCGGACTCTCCAAAAATGTCGTTGGATGCCTGTTGGATCCTGCAAAAGTAGTGTATTTTTGGAGGATCCGTCACGGGTGCAGTAACATTTTGGAGAGTCTACGCAACATAGGCCAAAAATGTACTATCACTGGAATATCATCATGCAAACCGAAAATGTACTATCACAAATGCATAGGATTTTCACAAACTTCTGCAACAAAACATAATCCCTAAAGCAACAACAAATGTGCTCCTGGTTCAGAAAGACATCCCTGCTATTGGTTCAATCAATTAAAGGATCACATGTATAACAGTTCCGAGTTTCTAAAATTTTTCCTCTTTCTTTTTATCCCTTTTGGGGCCTAAATGTAGCTAGTAGAGAATGAACCTCGACACTGGTGCAGGTTTGTGACAACCTGGAACGTAAAATGAAGTCCTTTAACCAAAAATACTTTTAAACTAAACAATTCTCGTTATTTCATTTTACCTTTCCCTCTATAAGAGAAGCGTACAAGACTGAACCCTCATCCCTCAGTTCAGCTGGTATGCTAGCCAAAATGGATGCCTTTTCATCTGTTGCAATCTGAAGAGATATTGAAGCATTAGAATAATGTACTTGAAACCAGAAATAGTTCCGGTTTCACATTTGATGAATGTAATAACTTCACATACATGGGAGATTAAAAAGAATGGTTGTTATAGGTCAAAATTGCACAAAAGGAATCCCTGCCAGCTTATCTTTAGGGGCCGCGTATTTCTAATATATGCGACAAGATTTATTTTTTGGGGGTGGTTGGGGGGTTTGGGGGAGGGAGCAAATGAGTGCCAGATTAAGATCCGTCATTAGGTTGAAACTTACACCAATGGAGTACAGTTCAAACCAATTAGTCCATATTTAGTCCAAGGCCAGATTATTATCTCGCNCCCCCACCTAAATCCCACAAGTCCCCCCTATCAAACCTCATCAACCCAACTAGTTTTTCATTTTAATATTGTACTTCAATTATGATCATCTAGATTCCAAGGGTATAAATTTCAGAGATGATAACATAACTACAACCCTATACCTAACCTGAATCAGACACAGAATAAGAGTATTTCATACCTTCACATCCTTTTAAAATAAGTAGATATTATTTCTTATATGCAGAACCAAATGACCTGCTACAATCAGTTGGCACGTGGCGTCTACATCTTTGAAACTCTTTTAGTTCTCTACTGCTATAAGTCTATTTGATGGATGGTTTAAGAGAATAACATGAAAGGAAAAATTTCTTCCTTCCTTATACCGTTGAGGATCTTTCTGGCAAACAAAAGTAAATAAGCAGCTATTTTATGCAGGGTATTATCCCAAAAGTTCTCTTCTATTCTTTATTGTTTGGAAATGGCCTGACACCCAATACTTCCGTTGGATGGCTGTGGAATATATCGAAGAATGGGGACCTTGGTAGAGGACCAAACCTTGTTTTATATCTAATTTGGTTGCAAACAAAAATATAAAGCAATACCTTAAGCGCTTTCTTCACATTACCCTCCATTGTTCCAAATGGTTTCCGCTGTGGAATCCTCAGCAAGTACGAGATGTCCTCAAGAGAATCCTGCATTTAAACAAAAAGGAATGGTGATACTGCATGAGTCTGGCTAAACCAAAATATATTGGCAAGACAAAAATAAGTCACCTGTATAGTTTTCATATTTGGGTTGGCGGGGATAGCTCTTCTGAGAGCTAATTCTCCTGTTCTTGGGATGTTTGTTTCAGGGGAATAAAGCACTGCCTCAGCAGGAGAAACGGGCCAAACTTGCCATTCATAAAAAGGTATTGGAGATGCAATTTCAATAAAGATAAGCATCACAGCCATTAAACTCTGAAATTGCTTCATTGTACTCTCCAAATGTGTTAACAAAATGGACGGAGTAGTTGGCCTCTTTGTCAATTCCTGCATGACTGAAAACCCATTCAGGAGCTGAGAGGGTTATAAAAGTTGTATTCCTCATCATTCTTGAAGCGTGCGGAATATGGTTACAAATGCACCATGCTAGTGTCCCAAGGAAAATAAAATATAAGGAAAATCAGAAAAATCATAGCCGTTGAAGAAATGGATAGGGCCCAACTCAAACTCCAAAAGCTAGCTCATGATAGGAAAATTTCTCAAAGACTGTATAAGGACAGCACAAACCATTACCTCAACCAATGTGGGACTTAAAACTAACCACCCCCCTCCCCCCGCGCACATGCCCATGGGACAACTTGAGTGTGGATAACATAAGATGTGGACCCAAGAGGATTAGCCAAGACCATATAAGGAAACCACACACATTCCCTCGTAGGACTTAACATAGCCTAAGTTACACTTTGCATTTTTCTTCGTAAACTAATTATATGGATAAAATTATCCTCGAAGACATTAAATGCCTTGGCTAGAATCTTCAAAGTGTTTAACTTTATCACACACTTGGGAGAATTTGGGATGGTATCAATCTTAGGCAAGGATTAATAGCAATTGTGCAGATTGTCCTGATAAGAAAGTTCCGTAGTCGCTTATGCTTTCATCTGGATCAAACTGTTAAAAGGTAAACCTTTGCCCAAATTATATCTCAGTAAAGTGTAGTAAGTACAATAATCCCAAACTACTCATGACTCAGCTCAGGAGTAGACGGCACAAAGGGAGAATTAAAAAAAATCACAAAATTTAAGCTTATAAATTTATACTAGTATTGAACTAACCAGTGAAGCACTGTTCTTTGGGACAGTGAGTCTAGCATAAATTTGTCTTGCTGGAGTTGTACTACGAAGTGGGCTGAGTGGAAGCACGAGGTGGGTACGGAAAAAGGCATTGTTTTTGAGAGAACGAGGGAGATAACAACTACCGGACCCTGCCCTGTGAGAGATGATAGTAGAACAGGATAAAGGGTACGCCATTGACAGAGAGTTGAGTTCCTGGTAGTTGTTAGATGAGGTTTTTGGCGCGCCTTGTCCATGCCTATCCTTTATCTTTCTACTGATGACGTGGTATTTTTCCTTTATTTTAAATACTGCCAAAATAAAGCAAGAAAGCCACTACTATCTTATTACACAAATATATTTGTTTCTAAACTAAAAGGGTAATATAAAATATTCGCTCATGTTGACATAAGGTCTGATTATCAATTACTAAAACTAATAAATTGATATTGCAAATTGGTCCATTTTTTTTTTGTTGATATTTTTAAAGTATTTTCTGCATTGTTTCAATATCGTTTATGGGTAACAAAAATCGTCACCCCAACAGGTAACATACACAATAGTAGTTTCTGATGATTTTCATGAGAAAATATGAGTGTTTTGACAAGAGAAGTGCTGACTGGTTGAGGTGTAGGAACAACTTGGGAATCTAAATTCTAATTTCTGTAAATATTTAGTGCGAGCTATCTACTACAATCTTGAGAACAATTTATTCAATTCGTTTACAACAAAGTTATTTCTTGTTACTTAGACGTAGGGTGTACATGGACCGGATTGATTCGATTTTTATCAAAATCAAACCAAACCAATTTTATCGATCTGGATTGGTTTGGTTTTATCAAATTTTTTGGATTTTCGAATTTTTTGTTACTTAAATATTATTTCAATCTTACTTTGTTAAATTTTTGACAAGTACATATATATTTAGTAAAAATATAGAAAATGACATACATATTATCTATTAAAATATTCGTATGAGAGAATTTTGTTAGTAACACATAATAGTTATTTTTTTAGTCACCTGACAATAATGTTTTGATGTACACTTTTAAGGTTAACCGAATTTAGTAATTAAACATAAAAATCAATATGATACCCAAATAATAATAATAATCACTTCACATTCGAAAAAGATATATGATATGATATTTTAACATATGATATGAATATGGAAGAACAAAGACAATGACGCATTTTAGCAATACTTGATGAGAAAGTGATCATACAATCCATTATTTAAGGTTAATAAATATGGAGCACTTCATATACTATTAAATATTATATTCCGCAAGATAATCTTAAATATTTCTAGACATATTTTAAAGAAAATTCTATATAAATCTTAAAATTATATATTTATATGTCGGTTTAGTTCAAATTTTTTTACTCAATACCAAACCTAGTCGCGTTTTTTAATCGGTTTGGTTTGACTTTTTAGTTTGGTGTGATTTTCTACACCCGTACAGTGACACGTTCAGCTTTCTGTGACACAACAGAACCAATTAGGTTTTGAACAAAATAAGCCCCCATTAATTGAACTTATTTAATTCATTTACTACAAAATTCGTAAATATGGGCAACTAGAGATTTTGAGCCTCAGACTTTCAAAGTCGAACAAAGCTCTAAAGGCTTTCTTAAATGATACAAGTCTCAATTTGTAGATTTGTATTCAAATTAAAATGTGTGTGTGTGTGTCAATGGAATACATAAATGATAAAAGGATTATGTTATGGTAAAAAGTTCCCATGAGTCAAATCGGGTTACTGGACATTCTAATCCATTTTAAAACTGAGATATCTACCAATAGTATCAGAATCCAGCAACAGTCTTCTTTTGCATCTTCGTTAAGGGAGGGGATTGAAGACTGGAACATATATGTACTTTTAACTTGGTCGTTGAAGCAATAAAGTTTCCCCTCCACGATCCCAGAACGACAAGCAAACTCTTCTCTGCAGTATAGTAGCCTCAGATTTTCTGCCTTTTGGTAAACTAACCAGCCATTTAGGAAACATTTCTCTGCAACACTAGCCTCAGATTTACCTGTTTCTTGATAACCAGTCCGCAATGTCGTCCCAGAGCAAACACGGATCTTCATGAACCATTGCAAAAGCGAACTCCATTTGCAAAGGTTTGTCACCTGAAATATTACCACTTTAAAATTTAAATGAGAATAGTACAAAATATTTACCACCTGCAGTGGTCATATAATTTCCCAATAATGAGACTACAAGAATCAAGTGAACAAACATAAAGCCACTCATAGGAATCTAAACTCCGGTTGGGCATTGGCACTCTGAGATCTTTGGTTTTATGAAATTTAACGTAGAGAAGCAGATGCAATTCAGTGAGACGCTAAATTATAGAAAAGGACTTTACCTGGAAGCGCGTAATAAGATAGGATTCCATCACCGACTGTCGAGCAGAAAAGGGAGGCTCATAGATTAGAGGAATCCCAGCTGGCATAAACAGCTCCAATTAGTTTCTCATGCAGCTTAACGCCGGAGCAAACAACTATTCCCCTATCAAGACCTTCCAAGTATATCCCTCTAGAAAAATCAAGTGAACGCCCTCCTGCATCGGTTACAACACCGCCAGCCTCTTGTACAAGGAGAACACCAGCTGCGTGGTCCCAAATCTTCTCTTTGTAACCAGCTCTTGCAAATTTCATGAAAATTTCAGCATCTCCCTGTGCTATGGCCGCATATTTTACCATGCTATAAACACGGAGGGGCTTATTTCTGCCAGTTGATAATAAAATGTTAGAGAACACTATTCGCACAAAGCTTAAATAACATATCAACATGTATTTATTTTTCTTCTTGAGTAACATATTAACATATTTTTCTTATAAACAAGCGTAATTTGTTGACCCAAAAACACATAGGAACGAGTCTACATTTTCAAGAAGGAAGAAGGAAGGAGCTTCATAGTGCAGTTAATGAAAGAGCTAGTCAACCTACAAATTTAACTTTTGGAAACTAAGTGAATTCTTGGAGACTGGCTCTAAACAGGCAATAGTTTACAGGAGACAGATTGTCAACAAACCTAAGCCCAACAGAGCAAGCAAGTCCAGCAGTGTAGCTGTGATTTGAATTGGCTCTCTCGACTGGCTCACAAAAAGTTGCCAATGCGGCATCATCAATTGAAGAGACGTGAATTTGTTTTGCAAAATTTGGCCACTCAAATTTCCTATCCCCATAAACAAGTGGCTGCACCCAAGCCTCACCAGTACCTTTCCTTGTGTACATCACACATCCTACTTCCAAAACATCAGATGAGTGCATTGAAATATCTGATGCAATATGATTTTGCTTCTGGTTACTAAGCCGGTCCCTCTTTACATGGTAATTAGGACAACCTAGCACTCCCATCACAACTTCTCCATTATCAATTAATGCTAGTGCCACAGCATATTGACCTCCACGCACAAACCCCAATGTTCCATCAACCGGGTCAAGAACCCAATGCCTACCGAGAGGACCGCCACTTGAATTGCAGCGACTAATAGCCTCAAGAACTTCTAAAGGCCCCAGGGCTTCCTCAGGATTTTTTAGACCATATTTGGAAGCTTCTGCTAAGCATTCGTTAACAGTGCTAATAACTTTACCCAACAGACCTGCTGAGTCAGACTTGGAGAGAGTTTGCACATCTTCTTCAGCGACTATGGAGACATTTTCGCTGCCAAAAGCATCTGAAAGGATCCAGCTTACAGTTGCTTGCACACTCCAATCTATCCATGCAAACAAAATGAGTACTTAGCAGACATGGAGGCAATCTATGCATATTCTATAAGAAATGAAGACATGAAAATATTAATGCACAATTGCAGGTAGAAACAGTAAGAGAACTTCCATGCTGAATATGTTAAGGAGTAGAAACAAACAAAACAGACAATATGCCCGTTATAGGTGCCAGGTTTCTATTAAACACTATCAGAATCCAGTAACAATTCTAGAAAGTCTGAGCAAACAATCTAGAGATGCTGTTTTGCTCTCCTACAAAGTCATAATCGAGAGACATCAGACATCAGACACTGGAGTAGTGTTACTGGAAAATCATCCAAAATTAAATTGTGAAGCAGCCAAAATAAAAACTGAAGCATCTGGATTTCTTCTATTCAGTGAAAGAAGAAGAAAAAAGCTACTCCATTTCATTACATGTGTCTTAGTTTGACTAGGCACAAAGGTTAAGATTGTAATAAAGATTTTTGAATCTTGTGATCTTAAACTTAAGTGTGCATAACACACCAAAAATACACTTCTGAATCTTGTGATCTTAGACATGCAATGTCATTTCGAAACATGCAATGTCACTGAACTCAAAGTGCTTTTTAAGCATAAAGATCAGTTATAACGTATTAAGAGCAGACGACAACAGACTGAAGCTTTCGACTGAAGTTTTTGTGTCCGGTAAGAATCCCAATAGTATGGTCTAGAGGTCAATGAAGTGCGATGAAACCATGAGAGACAAGGGTTCAGATCCCAGTAGAGGCAAAAAAAAAAAAAAACTCTAAGTGATTCTTTTTCATCTGCCTAAGTCTTCATAGGTATAGTTACTCACTATTTGAGCTGGTTGGAGGTAATGATTACCTGGAGAGTAATAGAGGTGTGCGCAAGCTCCCCGAAAACCACCTTTATATAATAATTAAAAAGAGAACAGAGAATCAAAGCTTCTTCTGTTTCTTATCTCATTCTTGTGCTACTTCTTACTTTCTCTTTGTTGCGTCAAAATTTAGAAGTAGCCAACCCTTCGTTTCCACATGATTCTCATTTGTAATCAGATGATTGACGTAGAGAAGGGAACTTTGCTTCTCCTATGGAGGTTCCCAAACTTATTCAAGAAAGCGTCCTGGCTAAGGAGTCACAAGTTAAATCTGTCCCTGGAAAGCGGACTAGACAACATTTGGCTAAGGTAGAAGCGACAAAAGTAGTATAAGGCATGCTGTAAATAATGCAAGTACAAGACTGAAAGACAAAGGATAATTGAACTGAAGTTGATTGACTGGTTCTGTGATGATTGCATTATATCCATCGTAGTGCAATATGTGCTATTTATACAAGAAGTCTTAACAGACTCAACAGACTATCCAATCATGTCATGAGTTCTATCCATAAAAACAAGGTACGATCTATGGAAGCGGCATGGCTTGTGACACATTCAGCCAACTCCTATTGCACGTTAATGGATCGTGTTGTAGATGGTGCTCCGCTGAATTACTTGACTCCAAGGAGAAACAGCTATGCTGACGAGCAGTGGCTTAGAGACCCTTTAGCAAGGGTATCATCCGATACCATTTCGTAAATATTTCCTTAAATATGTTTGTCTAAATTATAATTTTCTAACAAATAATATATATATATATATATGTGTGTGTGTGTGTAAGGTTGATACCACTTACAATAATACGGAACAAATTTGAATTTGGAAATAGAGGGTAAAGCCCTTAAAACAACTATATTCCAAGACCCAAATGGCCAAACGCATATACAAGCCTGAATTATGACAATAGGCCGACACTGTATACGTAGTTTTTCCGCTTTCTATCGCACGCTTCAACTATTTGTTTATATAGTGTATGAAGTCTAACTAATAAAGACATAGTTCCTGCATAGGCATTGTTGACGAAGTCTTCTTTGTGGTGAAAGACATAATCAAATGCAGTAATTTCTTGCCTTGTGTGAAAGTAGTTACAAGCTTCAAGCTGAATATGTCAAGCTAAGCCAACCTAAAGATACTCTTAACATGGTGTTATATTGTCCGTTTTGGATCAAACTCACACAGGTTCCCTCGGAGAGCCTCACACTACTAAGAGTACCGATTCGCACATCCAACAATCTCCCCTTGAACTAAGTAGCATGATCCATCACCAAGATTTATGGACTTATTTGGAGATTCACTGTGTGTCATCCATCATCTCCATCATCTGAGTATTTATGGTCACCAAAGCCCACAAGCTTCTTCTTTTGTGTGCATATCCAAATAACGGTAAAAGTAGTAAATTGGGCTGTAGATGGGCAAATACATCAAGTCGGCTCGTTTTACGCATCACTATGTCATCTTTATACTCGTTTCACCGAACCATCAGCTCTAATACCACTAGTTGGGCTAGCAACCCAAAAATTCTCTTAACATGATAGATATTATCCACTCTGCGCCAAGTGTGCATGATTTTTCTAAACAATCTAGCATTAAGAGTATTCCTACACCTTATATGTAGTTTTTTTTTTCCTTATCAACTTTCAATGTAGACTTTGTTCGCTCACTCTGCAAAATTATCCGTGTAGCCTACTATGCATCGGATAAAATCGGTTGACAAGACCAACATTACGTCTATCCCTTAATGGACAATGGCCCAATTGCGTATCCAATTCAAATGAGGACTCAAATTTCGGGATTATCATCCTTTTCCCACTACAACTTCAATCCTACTTTTAAGCTCCCAGTATATGAGAAAACACTAAAAACAAAGCCATATTTCAGGGTGTGCTATCAACACCTAAAGAAAGCTGCTAAATTTCTAGCGAAACAAATGAGTTTCATATTAAAAAACAAAACTACTAGTTCCTTTGGGGCCGGGGATGGAGTTCAAATCCCCATTATAACAAAAAAATTATTAACAAAAAAACATTCTGCAGAAACCCAATACGAGAAAAATGAAGAAAAAAAACAAAAAAGCACCTGCAACAGTAACAAGAGAATCGTCATCCTTGGACTTAACATCATCATCAAAAGTGGTAGAGAGCAAACTCTTTTGCACCTTTTGACAGAGAGCACAAGCCATATGCACAACCCTGACGGCCACATTTAACTCCTCTGAGTATTTCTCATTATGATCCATTTGATGAGAATTCCAACAAATTTGGATCAGACCCAGATGGAGAAAAAATTTCAGAAAACAGAAATCCCACCTGTAGATTTGGTAAAGTGGAGGGTTGCTTTATATGGCATTGGCATTTGTTTTGGTTTCGAGAGAGTAAAATGAGAAGCACAGCCACGGTATTCCACAAAAAGTGGTGCTGTCAGTTGTGTTTCGCATCTTCTTTTTATTTTTGTTTTTTTCTTTTTCTTTTTTGACTCGCCGTCTACCATCAAAGACATATAAATCTTTTTTTTTTAATATTAAAATGAATGTTAGTTTATTGATTAAAAGATTTATGTTACACAATGAATGTAGACATCTTTAGGGTAATGTGCATAGTGCCAAAGTCTAAGGATCTTTTGATTCTTTTCTTACTTAGCTTTTTTTTTTTAACTAGAGTTCCTTGCACATGTATATACAGTATACCTCTCACATGCTGGAATAACATACAAGTTATTAGTGGTGAAATCAAAAATTTCATCTAGAGCATTCAAACTTGAAAGAAATAAAAAAAATCTCCAATAAAGGGTTTTCAATATATATTATATACCTCTAAAATCTAATATTTTACTTATATATACAGTATAGTTTTTCGATGAATGGTGATCAATTGACCACTCTTAGGGCTGTGCAACTCCCCCTGCAAGTTATTCTCCATGCGTGTATTATTCTCTCTGTCTCATTTTATATGATGGCGTTTGATAATTCAAAGTTTTAAAAAAAACATATACTTTTGAAATTTGTTATTTAAAATAAGTCGTAGATATTTGTACGATTGTAAATTATGTCAATATTGGTAAATGAAGAATTTTAAATTAAAATGGTTCTAGATATGGTGACGTTTTTTTTTGGTAGACCAAAAATAATCGTATGACATAAATTGGGACAGAAGAATGTTTGTCTTAAAAGATTTTAAACTCTTTTTAAGTAAATCAATCAAAGAAGATGAAGGGTTTAATCCTAGTTAAGGATAATTAACTCTAGATCTGAGATGAATAATACGAATTAGAAAACATAGCCGAATATAAATGTTGACGACGATTATGGCCAGATTTAATAACATAAAGAAAGATGCATTAAGTAACAAAAATGTGAATAAAGGAAAAGATTCACCCGATCTTCGGTGAGACAGATCTTCTTTCATTTAATAAAGATGAATGATAGGCAAATACAAGAACCTTAGGACCCTTTTGAATCTAATGAAGATATGGGATCACCGATCCTCTTATTTCTTTGGAGAGGTGTGTTTACATATTTTCTAGAAAGAGGGAGAGGGAGAGAGAGAGCTCGAACCCCCTTTTGAGAAGTCCTCCCCTCCTATTTATAAGAGGGGTATCCATAGAAAATCCCTAAAAAAGGTACAATTTAGAGGGAATATTCGATAGAATATTCCTTTTAAGGATTCTACAAGACTAGTTGTTTCATCACTACTCGACCTCGGATTGTCCGACCTTGGCCTGTCCGACCTCGGCTTGTCCGACCTTGGCCTGTCCGACCTTGGCCTTCGTGTGCCGAATTTCTCTGATCTAATTTTGACCCATATAGTTAGGCCCTTCGCTTATCAAGGTCGTCTCTTGGTCGAGCTCGGTGAGCGAACTTCATTAATCGTAGTTCGAGAAATTCGGATGGCGAGGTCGACTAGTGTGGATCGCGGATGAGGGTGCCGATCTTTAGGTCAAAGTGGTATCCCCGCAAGCTGATCTTTAGCAGAGTTTGATCAGGGCCAATGACTCGAGTGATGAGTCGATCGAGAAGATGGTAGAGTTGGGGAAGGCCGTCGAGGCCAGGATAGCGGCTTTGGCAAGGATGGCGGCATTGGAGGAGGTCGCCTACTGTGAATTCGGTCGAGGATGAAGTTGATTCGGACGAGGCCGAACTCTTCTTTTTTGGCGATAGCTCTTGGACCTCGGGGTGTTATTAAGAGCTAGTCGAAATGTTAACCCGTCATGGTTCGATCGATGTCGAACTCTTCTTTTTGGAGAAGGCCCTTGGCCTTAAAGGGTGTTATTTCGACGTATCGAAATGTTAACCCGTCGTCGTTCGATCGAGGTCGAGCTCTTCTTCTTTGGCGAAGGCCGTTGGCCTTAATGGTGTTATTTCGATCGTATCGAAATGTTAACCCGTCGTCGTTCGATTGAGGTCGAACTCTTCTTTGGTGAAGGCCCTTGTCCTTAAGGGTGTTATTTTGAACGTATCGAAATGTTAACCCGTCGTTGTTCGATCGAGGTCGAACTCTTCTTTGGCGAAGGCCCTTGGTCGTAGGGTCGACCTATTCTTTTTTGGGCGACCGCCCTTGGCCGTAAGGGTCGACCCCCTCTTTCTTAGCGATGGCTCTTGGCCATAAGGTCGATTCGGATGAGGCCGAATATTGTTTCGGACGAGGCCGAATATTGTTTCGGACGAGGCCGAATGTTATTTCGGACAAGGCCGAATGTTGGTTCGGAGGAGGCCGAAAGTTGTTTCGGACGAGGCCGAATGTTGTTTCGGACGAGGCCGAATATTATTTCGGACGAGGCCGAATGATGAATATTTCGGAAGAGGCCGAATGTTGATTCGGACGAGGCCGAATGTTGTTTTGGATGCCGAATTCTTTTTCTTTGGAGAAGGCCCTTGGCCTTATAGGTGTTATTTTGAGCTTGTCGAAATGTCAACCTGTCATTGTTCGATCAAGGTCGAACTCTTCTTTGGCGAAGGCCCTGGGCCGTAGGGGTGTTATTTCGAGCTTGTCGAAATGTTGACCCGTCGTCGTTCGATCAAGGTCAAACTCTTCTTCTTTGGCGAAGGCCCTTGGCCTTAGAGTTGACCTATTCCTTTTTGGCGACGGCCCTTGGCCGTAAGGGATGACCCCCTCTTTCTTGGCGATGGCTCTTGGCCATAAGGTCGATTTGGACGAGGCTGAATGTTGTTTCGGACGAGGCCGAATGTTGATTCGAATGAGGTCGAATGTTGATTTGGACTAGGCCGAATATTGAATGTTTCAGACGAGGCCGAATGTTAATTCGGATAAAGCCGAATAATGTTTCGGTCGAGGCCGAATTCTTTTTCTTTGGCGAAGGACCTTGGCCTTAAAGGTGTTATTTTGATCTTGTCGAAATGTTAACCCGTTGTCGTTCGATCGAGGTCGAACCCTTCTTTGGCGAAGGCCCTTGGTCGTACGGTCGACCTATTCTTTTTTGGGTGACCGCCCTTGGCCGTAAGGGTCGACCCCCTCTTTCTTAGCGATGGCTCTTGGCCATAAGGTCGATTTAGAAGAGGCCGAATATTGTTTCGGATGAGGCCGAATGTTATTTCGGACGAGGCCGAATGTTGGTTCGGACGAGGGCGAAAGTTGTTTCGGACGAGGCCGAATATTGTTTCGGACGAGGCCAAATGTTGATTCAGACGAGGCCGAATGATGGATGTTTAGGACGAGGCCGAATGTTGATTCGTTCGAGGCCGAATGTTGTTTTGGACGCCGAATTCTCTTTCTTTGGCGAAGGCCCTTGGACTTATAGGTGTTATTTCGAGCTTGTCGAAATGTCAACCTGTCGTTGTTCGATCAAGGTCGAACTCTTCTTTGGCGAAGGCCCTAGGCCGTAAGGGTGTTATTTCGAGCTTGTCAAAATGTTGACCCGTCGTCGTTCGATCAAGGTCGAACTCTTCTTCTTTGGCGAAGGCCCTTGGCCTTAGGGTCGACCTATTCTTTTTTGGCGACGGCCCTTGGCCGTAAGGGTCGACCCCCTCTTTCTTAGCGATGGCTCTTGGCCATAAGGTCGATTTGGACGAGGCCGAATGTTGATTCAGATGAGGCCGAATGTTGATTTGGACTAGGCTGAATGTTGAGTGTTTCAGATGAGGCCGAATGTTAATTCGGATGAAGCCGAATGTTGTTTCGGTCGAGGCCGAATTCTTTTTCTTTGGCGAAGGCCCTTGGCCTTAAAGGTGTTATTTTGATCTTGTCGAAATGTTAACCCGTCTTCGTTCGATCAAGGTCGAACTCTTCTTTGGCGAAGGCCCTTGGCCGTAGGGGTGTTATTTCGAGCTTGTCGAAATGTTAACCCATCGTCGTTCGATCAAGGTTGAACTCTTCTTCTTTGGCGAAGGCCCTTGGCCTTAAGGGTGTGATTTCGAACATATCGAAATGTTAACCCGTCGTCGTTCGATCAAGGTCGAACTCTTCTTCTTTGCCGAAGGCCCTTGGCCTTAAGGGTGTTATTTCGAACGTATCGAAATATTAACCCGTTGTCGTTCGATCGATGTCAAACTCTTCTTTTTGGCAAAGGCCCTTGGCCTTAAAGGGTGTTATTTCGACTTATCGAAATGTTAACCCGTCGTCGTTCGATCAAGGTCGAACTTTTATTTGGCGAAGGCCCTTGGCCGTAGGATCGACCTATTCTTTTTTGGCGACGGCCCTTGGCCGTAAGGGTCGACCACCTCTTTCTTGGCGATGGCTCTTGGCTGTAAGGTCGATTCGGACGAGGCCGAATGTTGATTCGGACGAGGCCGAATGTTGATTCAGACGAGCCCGAATGTTGTTTCGGTCGAGGCTGAATTCTTTTTCTTTGGCGAAGGCCCTTGGCCTTAAAGGTGTTATTTCGAGCTTGTCAAAATGTCAACCCGTCGTCGTTCGATCAAGGTCGAACTCTTCTTTGGCGAAGGCCCTTGGCCGTAGGGGTGTTATTTCGATCTTATCGAAATGTTAACACGACGTTGTTCGATCGAGGTCGAACTCTTCTTTGGCGAAGGCCCGTGACCTTAAGGGTGTTATTTCGAACGTATCGAAATGTTAACCTGTTGTCGTTTGGTCGATGTCGCTCTTCTTTTTTGGCGAAGGCCCTTGGTCTTAAGGGGTGTTCCCTGGGGGAGTCCCAATTTGCTTAATTTTGCTGGCATTGGAGAATACGATGTATTTCCTGGGGGAGTCCCAGTTTATATGGTCTCTCGGCGTCTTCGGATTTTTGTTATGATGGCGATCATTCCCTGTTCGTGTCTCTGGGAGAATGCTCCTGCTTCTATTCCATTTAGAAAAATATTCAGTTAAACCAAATGAAATCATTCTTTACCTAGATTTAATCGGTCGGCGAGTGGAGAGGAGGGGCCACGTTCACTCCTCTGGTTATGCTTTTAGTGGCCGCTACCAGTTTGGCAAGGCCATCTGCTTCGATATCCTGTGCTCGAGAGATTTGATCGAG